GCCGCATCCGGAGGCGGCGGGACCCGAAGCGGCCTGTCCGCAGGCCCGGGGTCGCAGGCGCGGCGCTGACGGCTGCACAGGGACGAGAGGGCCACGGCTTCCCCTTTAAAGCAGGATCTGCTGGTCCGGAGCTTGCCCCAAGGCCAAGGCCCGGGGAGCCGGCGCCGCCCCCGGGGCGACAAGCCCGAGGGCCCCCCCTGTGGGCCCGGAGGGGCCGCGACGGCGAAAACGGGGAGGCCGTCCCTTTAAGGCGAGGCCTCAAGTTGTCCAGCCCTTGGCCCCTTTAAGACGACCCGACGGAGTCCAGCGGCCTAGTGCGGTGGCCGCCCCCTGCCAGGGGTCGAGGCAAGTCTCCCCGAGGAAGAGGAAGGGCCACCCCTTTAAAAGGGGCCGAAAGCTCGCCCCGAAACGCAGACCTCCCCTTTAAAAGTATCTCAAGTCCTCCGGCTAAAAGAGGCCACCCCTTTAAGGAGTCCAGGGTCCTTCAATCAGCAGGCCGCCCCTTTAAGGGCTTGGGAGTTAGTTTCTAGTCCTCCACAAGCGGCCACTTCCCCTTTAAGCTGAATTTAAAGGACTTCTTGCGTGTGGGGGAGGAAGAGGGGGAAAACCTCACTCGCCCCAATTTCTCCCAACAGCACAGTTCAGTTTGTCAGCTTCTGTTCGGCGGCTTCCCCTTTAAGGCTGGCGTTGGAGTCCGCCGAGTTCAGTGGCCACCCCTTTAAGGAGATTTAAAGGGGCCTCCTCCGGGCCCAGCACCTCCAGCCTCCGCCTCCGGTCGCCATGAAAGGCGCGAGGGGGGGAGGGCGGGGCCGCGGGGCCAGCCCTCCAAAGCCCCGGATGTGAGGCAACGATGACGGGTAGAGCTTCTCTGTCCGCCGACATAAAAGTCTCTTCCTCCTTTTCTCCGTCTCTGACTTGTGCCTTAAGGGATCTGGAACGGCAGTTGGGCAGCGGGGAAGCTCCAGCGCACACTCCTGTTGTCTCTCCTTGGGAGTCTTGGGCCTCTTCTCCGCCAGGACTTCCCTGCCCCTCCTCCCTCTTCCTCCTCAGCCTACGCCTCCTTCCTCTCTCAGCCTCCTCCCATTCTCCTCCCCCTTTCCTTCACCCCCCACAGACCCAATCGTTGATAGGCTGAGAAGTACACGTCAAGGCAAAGGGCGGAGCCAAGGGGGGGTGGGGAGGGGGTAATATGTAACCGCCCTCGAATTTCGGATTGGGTTACGTCAGGCTAGCCCCGCCCTCCCTCAAGTCTTGTGACTCGACTGGTTCGAAGTAGGTGTTTGGGGCGGTTCCCCACAGGGCCCCGCCTCTTCCTGCTTTTCTTTTATTGGCCCCGACGTCTGGGCGGAGGGTGGGGAAGTGGAGCCGGAGTCAGCGGGGGCGGTTGGCCG